GAAAAATGAGCTCTTTGAAGTTGAAGTTCTTGGAGATCACAAATACTGAAAAATGAGCTTCCTAATGATCTAGATTTCGAGTTTACTGATGATGATCGTGAAGGATCAAATGGGTAGGTTATATAACTTACCCTTTAATCCCATTCACAACCATGATCATCAGAACTTGAAATCCAGATCCTTCAAAAGCTCAGATTTCACTTTTTTATGAACCTCCGAAAACTCTGACTTTAGATTGCTCATTTTTCTATGGAGAAAATTGTTGTTTTTGTTAATTTCATAGAAAAAGGAGAATTTTTGAATTTTGGGGATGCAATACTTTTCTTCCTTTTCATATATAGGAAACAAACAACGGTACATAATGATGAAACCTTCTAAATCTCAACATATATTTGATTATGTTAAATATTTTTTAAATTGTCAATAAATAAAATTTGAATTTTCATAAATAAGGGGATACAGTAATTTAGAATAAAATGACCATAGATGGATATTTTTTTATTACTACATCTTAAAATTGTTTCTGAATTGAATTTAAATTCTCAAAATAAGTGTGATCAAGTAACTTTGGACAAAATAAGTATATATATTTCTATTTACTAATCATTGACTTTAAATTTAGTAACAAAGGAATGAAAAGAAGAATAATCAAATTTCTTTTTACCCTTTTTCCTATTTTAGCCGACCTTTATTGTCCACTAAACTAACGGCTAAGATCATCTTTCCTTGGGTCATGTGGTATATCTAGACAAAACGTACAATAATTATTTTCTATAGAAAACATTGTATAGGATCATTCATTCCACTAGTGTAAAACCTGTTGAGCTTTCTCTTTCTCTCACTCATCAAATTTTAGTTTTTCTTATATTGGTTGAATCTAGAAAGTAACTACATTTCTTGATGCTTTGTTTGGCTTCCTCTCTCATAACTAGTTTTCATGTTGTGAGTAAGACACCTTTTTTCTTTGTTTTTTTTTATGATTTTATTCATTCTAAACTGAATTTCTTGTATAGTTTATTTTCTAATTATTTCTTCTTCTTTTTTGGCTTTTCTTTCCAAGTAAGAGATTTTAGCAAACAGAGGACTACATTTGAAATACTTCAAAATGGTAAGATTGTTTGATTTGAGTTATATCAATATTTCTAACAAAAAAAATTAAATATTGTAAGTCTATTCTTTTTACGTAAGTCTTGTTCTAGATCTATGGTGAAATTGATAGTCAATATCTCTCGTGTTCTAGATCTATGGTAAAATTGGCAATCAATCTTTCTTGCTTTGATTGTTTCTTTTTTCAATCTCTACCACGTGCTTTTATTTTTTAAAATTTATTTTCTTTTTTCTTAGTGGTATAAGATTAATGTTTTTCATTTTGAGGAATTGTTGTGATTCATGACATATATAGATAATTGAGAGTCAATTGTTCGAATCAAAAGTTGTTATACTGATACTTTATTGATCTCGTCTTATTTATTCACCCAATTAGTAAGGGTGACTCAAACACATTATTAGCGAAAGTCAAAATCGATTGAAGGCCTAATTTTTTCTTAAAATAATCTATTCTTGTAGTTTTATAATATGCAAAATTGTTATTACTTTCTTATAGTAGACTATTTCTAATACTTCTTTTTCATTTAATTTTATAGTCAATTCTTTTAATTTTCTTGAGATATATTACTGCATATATGTCATACTAGTTTTAGTAATTCTTTCCTCTTATATGAAAATTTTATTTTTTTCCACGAAAAGTACTCAATTTTTCATTTTAAAATATTTCTATAACCTATTATTGCTAATAAAAAATGGGGTCTCTCAATTTTTGGAGCCTAAGGTCTTTCGAACAAACCCCGTCAATTAGAGCATTCTCTTTACCCTTTGTAGGTGGTTCAATATTAAATAGGATAACTTTGTCCTTTGTATCTAGTCATTTGGGTTAAAAGGGCACCTTAAACTTTTTCTTCTAAAATGTGATACCAATTGTTTCACACTTGACAAACAAGGCATATTGTGATAAGTTTAATGAAAAACTTTCAAGAAATTTCCTTGTACTACAAAATTGCTCAAATTTGTCTTCATTGTACTTTGGTCTATTCATACTCCAGCCATTAAAAAAATTAACATTTATCTAGTTGAAATTAATTATTCTTCGGTGTGTCAGCCAATATGGACAGTTATCTCCCTCCCCCCTCCCCCCCCTTTTTATTCAAATTTTACTTGTCCTCTTTATCTATAGGAATCCAACAACTCTTCCAAGACAGTTGGGCTCTTCATCAGTTTTCGTTTTCTATCTCTTTCTTATTAATGACTAATGAAAGTGAATTATCACGTGAAATTCAGTTTTGCAAGATGATGTTATTTTTGCATAGAAAATACCTTTGATAATTCCTTCATATTCTTAATTGATAGAGAATTTTTTTTACCGCAAGGACATCTCCATGTATACCAATTTCATGTGATAATTCCCTTTCATTAGACATTAAGAATAAATGAAAGGAAATTATGATGATGAACCTAACTTGGAAGAGTTGGTCAAAATCCTAATTGACGATGATGATAAAGAAAAATTAATAAATGGGAAAAGAAGAACAACATT